ATTCCTGCTTAGGTGAAGCCAAATTCCATGGCGGCAATCATGTCCTATATTATTTTTCTGTCGGTGATATATTGTTTTTTGGTTCATTGACACATTCAGTCACATGTTTTCATTTCACATGGGACCGAGTGACTATGTCCAATTTAGGACAATCGGTAGTTTTCAGTTTGTCAGGCTGACGCACGAGAATAGGGATTGGAAATGCGAGTTTTTCATTGTTTCTTTCACTGAGGGTTGGGGAATCGAGACTTCATTGTCCGGTGTCTCCTTTCAGAAGAAGAAGGGCATTGAATCCCCTTCTGTTGGGGGAGTCGATTTCAAGGGGAGATTAGTATCGATCCTTCAGTATACTGACTCAGTGAACATATAGGTTTTATTCTCAGAGGTAGCAAAGTACAAGACCGTGGAGCTATGAAAAATCCTCAATTTAAAGTCGTGGTCACCCAGTCAGCTAAGAGGAAGTCGAAGGATGAGACAAAGACAAATGAGATTTGTTAGGTGGCACCGACTATCTTAGTGTTATGGCTAATCTTTTTTGGTTTTTGGCTCCTCGGGTGATCTTGACATCATGAATGACTTCATTTATTTAGTGCCCAGCTGGGTGATTTTGGTGTCATGGTGAGTGGTCATCTCCATGTAGTGCTCAGTCGAGCGATCTTTATATCATGGTTGGTTGTTCTTCTTGTGGTGTTCAACAGGATGATCTTGGAGCCAATATTGGTTGTCTTCTGTTGATGCTCAGCCAAGATGATGACATCACAACTGGCTGTCTTTTTTTTATGCCCATGGCTTGCTCTCTTTTTTGATGTTCAGCCAAGCGATCTTAGTGCCTAGGCTAGCAATCTTCATGTAATGCTCAACCGTGCAAACTTGGCCCAACGGCTAATTATTCTTCAAATAATGCTTAACTGGGTGATCTTGGTGCCAAGGCTGATTGTCTTCATTTGATGTTTAGTCAGGCAATCTTGACCTCAAGTCTGGTTGTCTCTATTCTTCTGAGTCTTTAGTTCTCTCATGTCTTGTCTCTCAGCTCCCCGACATTTTTCCAACCTGTAAGGTTTAGATCTTATGTTAGTGTGGTACTTGTCTATTTTACATGTATTTTTATTGGAATGTCATATATATGAGCGTGAGCAATCTTAAAAGAAGAGAAATCATAATGTAAATTTCATTTTAGATCGTCCATGCACAGAGTACAAAAGGTGTGGAGTATGGTGAAGAAAAGGAGAAAAATATTCATGGGATTATTCCCATGACATGGATAATGTTTGTTCCGGCGGATTTAGGTGCAACCTCCAACAGTGGCACTTTAGAAAAATATTCATGGGATTATTCCCATGACATGGAAAATGTTTGTTCCGGCGGGTTTAGGTGCAACCTCCAACAGTGGCACTTTTCCTTCTCTTTAACTTGGATGCCCTGTGGCCTCACTCTTTCAGCTTCTCAACCTTGATTAACTCCTCGATAAGGTTTTGAAGGTATCTACATTTCTCCATACTATGGCCATAGTCTGATGGTACTTACAATATTTTCTTTTGCCTCAGAGGAAACTTTTGGCTCTCAACGGTGTTTTCTCCTTAAAATATTCATTGCCTTGGATAGTGCCCACAATTTTTGATATTGACACCCTTAAAGGTGTAGCTTGTCGGCCCTCACAAGAAAAATCATGGCCATGTAACTTCACCGAGAATCCAATTTACCGAGAGCTCTCACCAGTTGTCTTAGAGTTGAAAGACTCATTACTTTTTTTTTCTGATTTGATATTAGTTGGGGGCTACGGATCAGTCTGCACTGGCCTGACCGATCAGGTTCCTCAGAGGTGATCCCCTTCTATCTGTGAGAGGCAACTTACCTTTATGATAAGGAAAACCAACTGATTCACCGTGGTCTTGGGCCTTCATGGCAGGTCAAGTGAGCCCTCTCTTTTTAATTCATTTTTGCTAGCACATTTTCGATGTGCATGTATCCATCTCACTTTACAATTTTAAAAGATTAATTTGAAATAAAAGTAAATAAAAGTAGGGGTTGTACATACACATTACACAAAATGTACATTTTAGTATTATTATTAAACCATGGTGAGATTTTAACTAGGCAACTTCATTTTAGATCATTATCACAACGAAAAATCTAAATAGAAAAGTTTTCCACGAGGTGGCAATATCGAGTGATAACATATTGGGCTTTCGCTCTCATATTTAAAATAAAAATGGGCATAGAGAGATTTGAATAAATATTACATAATTCTTACGTATATTTAGATCTAATGTTTAAAATTTGACTTTTGTTTATCTAATACTTTAGTGATACATGCATCTTACTTTAGAAAAGTCAATATTATTCAAATTTTAAATGTGAAGTGCGGCAGTGTAAGTCTCCTCCGGTCTAGGATTCAAATCCCGCCTCTGATGACTGTTGGCTTAAGGTGGGGATACTTTGAAAAAACAAAAACTTCTCACCACAGATATTTCTGAAAATCATCAAAAAAGCCTCTATTTAAATGGAGCTATGACAGAGGTTTTACACACTAAACAGACAAAAAACCGTCTTAAATAAACTCTAAGGTTATGTTTTGATTAGCACTGCGGTGGAGTTGTAGTGTCGCACATGTTGACTACTTTTTTGAAACTATATTTTACAAACTGACCTTACTAATGGCTTTTGAAATAAATAAATATAT